TGGATTGGCCAAAACCGTCCAAGAAACAGGAGCTCCAGTCGTTCTTAGGCTTCTGCAACTTTTATCAACGATTTATTCGCGACTACAGTAAACACATGAAACCCCTCACCGCACTCACAGGGAAGGGAGAATGGAAATGGGGGGAAGCCCAAGAGAAGGCATTTGAAAAGATTAAAGAGCTGTTCTGTGAGGACGTGGTCCTAACCATCCCATTAGACGAGGGAAAGTTCCGAGTGGAAGCGGACTCCAGTGAAGGAGTGATTGGAGCGGTATTGTCCCAGTGGCAAGAGGAGAAATGGCGGCTGGTAGCCTTTCTTTCTAAGGCGTTATCCATTACCGAATGCAACTACGAAATCTATGACAAGGAACTGCTCGCTATCATGATTGCCTTGGAGGAATGGCGCCAATACCTTATGGGTGCACAGGAAGATTTTGAGATCTGGACCGACCATTCTAATCTTCAGTATTTCCGAAAACCTCAGAAACTCAATCGAAGACAAGCTCGATGGGTAACCGAACTGGCCGAGTACCAGTTTACTTTGCACCACAAACCAGGAGCTCAGAACCGAAAAGCCGACTTGTTGTCCAGACGAGCGGATCATGACCAGGGAAAGGACGACAACCAGGATGTGACGGTCTTGAAGCCTGCTCATTTCCGAGCTCTCATTATGCCCACTGCAGAAGCACTGCACGAGAAGATCAAACTAGCCACACACGACCCGCGCAAGTGGGATCGGGGTATCTCCGACTCCCTTAACCATGAAAAGGGGGTTGCACGAGATCAAGGATTACTATGGTACGACGGTCGCATTTATGTACCCAGAGACAGGCAACTATGGGGTGAGATCATAGCCCTATGACATGACCATGTCACCACAGGACACCTGGGGATAGAAAAGATGAAGGAACTTATCTTACGAGACTATTGGTGGCCTCGAATACGCTCGGAGGTGGAAGCATACGTAAAAGGGTGCGAAGTTTGTCAACGAACGAAGGTGGATCGTCACCCCAAAAGGGCGCCCCTTCACCCGAACGAAGTCCCGGATCGACCGTGGATGCATATTTCGGTTGACATGATCACCAAGCTCCCTGACTCAAGGGGAAATAACTCCATTCTCGTCCTGGTCGATAGGTTCTCCAAAACCATAATTCCAATCGCATGCACCGAGGAGCTGTCATCCCTCGGTTTTGCGAAGATCTTGCGAGACCATATCTACGTACCGTATGGTGTAATGCCAGAAAAAGTTATCTCGGACAGGGGAGTGATCTTCGTATCCAAGTTCATGAAGGAGTTTTATGCTCTCATTCACATTACAGGAAATCCCTCGACGGCATATCACCCTCAGACGGACGGACAGACTGAAAGGGTTAATCAGGAGATTGAAAAGTACCTTAAAATGTTTGTCAGCTACCGACAGGACGATTGGAGCGATTGGTTACCGCTCACCGCGTTCACTCATAACAACCAAAAACACTCAGCCACAGGCTTTTCTCCATACAAAGTAGTCTTTGGATGTGACGGGCAAGTTATTAAAACCACTCAACGCTCGGATGCAGTCCCCACAGCGTCAAAGTTGGTGCAGGGAATACAAGAAGCACAGGATAGGGTGAGGCAGTCCCTCGAACGAGCGGCCGAATCAATGAAAAAGGCCTACGACAGGCACAAAAGGGGGGCAGTCGAATACCAGGTCGGCGACAAGGTGTGGCTTGACTCCACCAACCTCAACCTCCCTCGCCCAGCGAAGAAATTAGGGGACAGATGAGTTGGACTGTTCGCTATTGTAGCCAAGAAAGGAGCATCGGCTTACAAGCTAAAACTCCCTACAAAGTGGCGCATTCATAACCGTTTCAATGAATCCTTATTGACTCCATATCACGCTCCCAAGTTTTCAAACCAACTGCGTCCCGAGCGCCCACCTCCAGAATTAATTGACGACGAAGAAGAGTACGAGATCGAGGAGATTGTGGGGGAAAGGGATAAAGTCATGGGGAAGGGGCAAAATCGCCGAACGATTACCGAATATCTGGTGAAATGGAAAGGATACCCAATAGAAGAAAACTCATGGGTCAAATGTTCAGACATGGCCAACGCCGAAGAGCTAGTAAACGACTATGAGGCCCGTATCCAAAAGATCTGGTGGACGGTTAATGATAAAGGAAAAACGGTTGGTAAGGACGACAAGATACCACCGAACCTCCCTATCCAATACCACGAACCAGATACCCCATGTATCACCGATATCATCACTGTTCCCTCCTCCGAATGCACCGCACCTGCACACTCCGAAGAGCTCAACGCATTGGACGATAGAACCTCATGTGACAAACAATCCTTTAACCATTCTGATCCCGAGGATTCCGATGTCGACCATCTACAACGGGTCACAGAAAATTGGGACAAAGATGAAGATGATGACAACGATGATGACGATGACAATACCTTTTCATTCTATTCCGAATCCGCCCGCTCAACGTCAGAATACGATGGAGGAACATCTAGTGACTCATTCGGGACGAATGAGTCTTAAGGAGGGGGTAATGTTACGGTTTATTCATTTCTTTTTCTTTTCCTTCGTATTACTCAGCCGGATTACTCATATGCGATCGCAACAGACGCATTCCCACAGTACTATTTTTAGTTTACCAAACGTGTATTTAAGTAGAGCCTCAGCTGGTCTAAACCCCAGCTTCGGCTAAGGTTTAATCTACCTAATATCGAACTCCGTCCTTTGTGACTATCTGTCCCATCGACTTTCATCGCCTTTGACTTGCTAGAGCATCTACCACCGAAGTGCGAGTGGTGATCCTAGCACAATCTAAGTCGATTAGAGTTAGTGGCTAACATTGCTGGAGGCGCTGTTGTAGCTGTTGGACATAGTCAGCAGCAACCTTGGGAGTAATCCCCAGGTCCCGAAGCTTGTGAGCAAAGTCTTCGATGTTGACATCTCCTTCAGCACAGCGTTTGAGAAGATCTTCACATTTCTTGGTGAGAGCGGCGACATCGTCAGTGCTTTGCTCATCGGACATGAATGATATATAGATTCAAAAGGGGTGAATGATGAAAAAAGAGTTGATTAAATGGCTTGTAAGTTAATAAATAGGCGATGCCTTTGGAACCTGGTAGCAGCGGTGCTGAATGAGCATGACAATGAGGGAGCGAGCGAAGCTCAGCTCACCTTGGATTGTGGGGCGAAGGTTGGGTGCGAATGAGACAACTGCTCCAATGTCTCTCAGATATTCGACCTCTGCTAGAAATCTAGCACTGAAAACTGAGACGGAACAAGTTGCCCACTCTCCCGAATGAAGCGGCGCTTCTAGGTGGAGCCTGCAATGATGTGGCGATGCCAGTTAGACTCGACGAGCATGCAGAGGCCTACGAAAACACTCCTTACCCTTGGAACCCGCCTTTATGACGATCTTGCCAAGGATTCTGACTGAACTCTGAGAGAAAATGTGAACTAGTGGTGGTAGAATGCTGCCACCAGCGAGTCTTTTTCTCTCAGCAGCAGAAGCCACCACTGCTGAGTGAATCATTTCAGGGGGTAGGACTCTCTCATTCATACTACTATTTTTTGAATGTTAACTTAGTATTATTGATTATGACTTCGATTTTTTTCCGCAAGCCAAGATTTGAATAACCCTTGGGCCTAATCTCTCCTGCAGGAATTATAGCCAGTAAACCTCACAGGATCAATCAATTATACATAAGCTTGGTTTATTATAAACCATCATAAGTATATAAAGAACAAGGCTTCAAGAGAGGTCAACGTAGCAGGCTTTGCCCCTGATGTGGGCCTTGCAGGTGTTATCGTCACGAAAAAATTTAAAGATCAGAGTGAGTGTGGCAGAGTGTGGCAGTACCCCCGAATCCCTACTAATGTTTGATCTGTCTATGGATCCCAAATGAGAAAAATTTTGTGGAACGATGACCCAAAACGGATCCAGAACCCTATTTTTTGCCGGAAGCCCTGATGCACTATCAGCTTTCAGGAGGGGGGTCTGATCCCTGTACGGATCCAGAATGCCGGATTCTCGGCATGTCAAAATAAAGCGAGCAAATACCCAAGGTTTTGTATCGAAAAGTCGATCGATAGGGCAAAAATAGTACAGATCAGCGCCAAAAGGTGATTTTGGCACATAAGTAGTACAAAATTGGATAGCCCCGTCGGCCCGGCAGGATACCAGATACCCTTTGGAGAGGTCTGGGGCAAAGTGCGGATCCCGATTTCCTAATCAGGGTACGGATCCAGGATGCCAAAATCGAGAAATTTTGATCAAACATTTGCAGGGATATTCGGGGGTCCCAGTGTGGCAACCCAAGTTCGCCGATCTAGTAGTGGCAGTTGCCGGCTTTCTCGTCAGTACTAGCTGGTATAGGTTACAACCTAGGATCATGATGCATCTTTTCTGTAGATTGATAGCTGCGGGCCCATCCATATAATTAAAATACAGTTACTGAGAAGATAGAATGTGGGTTTAACTGGTGCAGTGAACTCGCTTGTGGCAAGGAAAACCAGTGACCTAGAGTTTATGGAAGGACTCGGAATATTATGGTTTCTGCGCTGCAGATGGTCGGGAGAACGCTCTACCTGCTCGGATCCCAGGTGTGTGTACCTGGTCGTCCGAAGTTATTAATCCTTTTAGTTTGGCAGGCAGTCAAGCCTAAGATGTCACCGCCAAGATTCGAGAGTGAGAAACTTTTAACAATTTAGGTCGAGGGATATTTCCAGCTTCAAAAGTGTCTTGGCCTTGCTTTCACGTATATTTGGGGTCGCCGGCCGACGTGTCCGTCGGAGACGCTGTGGAGTATCTGCGCGGGAAGAATCATCTAGTTTATTATACAAGACAAAGAACGTCTACCTCCGTCTTCCCTTGCCATTACTCGGCATGAAATCCTACTGAGACTGAGTATCAAGACTCGAATTCAGAGGCCCTCATCGTTTATGTCATGGTGCGTGATTATACTAATAGCGAGACACATAAAATACATCCAAATATCATTAACATCCGTCGTAAAGGGAATTACGGGGGAACGTGTACCCTGCCGCATCCCATGTCGTCCAATTAGCATTCGTATAAGCTTCCGCGTGACTATCACAAAGGAATGAGGAAACAACCAGTACAAAAAAGGAAGACATACTTGGTAATATAATCCGCCGTAGGTCTCTTTGGGGGGTTACACGTCAACCCGTTCTCCGTCCCAGCACGTTGATACACGCGCACGTAGTCGATATACATTGAGCTCGGGAAGGTCAAGTGTTTGTAATCCTGCGGCTGGAACGAGAAGGACAGGCCCAGGTTAAGGATGATGTACTACAACAATACACGTCACTTTTGTGCAGCTTCGAGCAAAAAAAGGTGCTTACCATTGGCTCCTCTGGAATAAGCCGCTCGCTAATCTCCACAGTGGAATCAGCTCCGATGGTTCCAGGTGTGATTGTCCACGACTCCACACCATCACTGTACCAAGTGATATACCCCTCATCGCGATTATCCGGATTTGAATACCACTCGTATCCGTATGCCCCATACCCAGTCCCGTTATACAACGTCTCATCGATGTACGTCAGCGCCGACACCGCTTGCTGCAAATTTGATCCCCTATACGAATTGAACTTGGTTTTTGTATCGTCGTAGACAGTCGTCACACTGGTCGAATTATCGAAATAATACTGATAATTGAACGGCGCAATTTGGTAACTCTGCGAAACTTGGCCTTGCCAAATGGTCGTGTCGATTTGGTGTTCGATGATATCAATTTCGGGGACACCACGCCCCGTGCTGGAGGTGGGTCCTGGGTGGTCGGATCCTTCGCATGTGCATGCAGAGAGGCGTTGGCCTGGGAGATAGCTGATTGATGCGCCATTGTTTCCACCGGTGACCGCGGCAGCTGGTTCTCCCGATGCCGTTGTTTGATTCGGGAATGTGCCCAGATCGCAGGAATCGTAGCTGTACGGCCACATTCCTTCCGTCGTGGCGCCGTAGCCAGCGCGGCCCTGTAACCTAGTGAGACTAGCACATCGAAAGGGATGGGAAGAACTCATACCAAGTTTCCCATAGTCCATGCACCTGGAAGCAGTCATCAGAAGGTGTTAAGCACACAAGAATCACCGTAAACTTACCGGGCCATAAACCCGCTGCCCTGGGACTACCAGGCATGCTGATCGAAACTTCGATATATCCAGTAGTGAAGCATAATTTGTTCCATGAGGTAACCATACCTGTTGACGCCTCAATTACGCGGTCCTGTGAGAGCATCGAATTTGAAATGTAAACGTACCGCTCTTGAAATTGAGATTGTGAATGTTTTCCTCCGTCATTGTGAGCACCAACTTGCCATCTCGCGTGATGGCGGCCTGAGCAGCAGCAGAATAGGTGAGAACAGGGCTACCACCTAGTAAAGGAGACATACACTCGGATCATACCACTCGAGATCACCTGTGGGCCAATAGTTAAAGTCAACTGCCTCCCAATACGGATCGTCTCCAGGATAGAAAGTGCGACCATCAGTATTGAACTCGTCACTGAACACCAAGTTGTACTTCTTCCCATCGTGCCCTGTACGCGAATAAGCACTGGTGGGAGTATCCGCATCTATGAGGCTTGGAAGCCCAGGAAGGTCTGGTATCTGCCCAGTGGAATTGATTCCGCCGAGATTGAATCCGGATACAGTGTTGACTGTGCGGGTGTAGTACGTGACGATGGGGAAACCAGCGAATAGAGTGATCAGCCCCACAAGGATGACCACAAGTGCGCTCGCATTCTCCCAGCCGCGCGAGGAGAAAGGAGAGCAAGATCGGTCCATTCTAGCGTCCATGATGGGATCGGGATTATGGAGAATATCATCAAGGTCTGGGTCCTTGTCCCAGACATATTGCGCCTGGGGAACAGTGGTGGTGTTGGTATTGGCGACCCCGTTGGTCTGGACCAGAGGCGCGGCAGGGGGTGCAGCAAAACGCGAGGTAGTGTACATTCCGCCGTCTTGGGCTTGGGTAGGATTGTACTACAGCAGCGTTAGAGAATGATAAACAAGATAGGCGAATACTCACAGAATAAGGACCATATCCGCCTCCAATCATGCCAGTCGCGACGCCCTGGGCAATAACATGAGGAGAGCGAGCGCGTTGAGGCTCTGGCTGATGTTGAGACTGATAGTGTGGTTGAGGCTGGGGCTGAGCTTGCGATGCAGCAGAAGGCGCTCGTTGCACGTCGGACCGTTTTGAAGTTGATCGTTTTGAAGAATGATGATGCCTACTTGCACCTGAACGTGACCTCGGTGGCCCCGGCGTGCTCGGTTCGACTCCAGGTTGACGGCGAGAGCGAGAGCGGGAGGCGCTGGAAGACATGGTAGGAGAAGGCAGACAAGTTTAGTTCTCCGTGTTCCGAATATGCGACTTCACTGTATAGCACAGTGCCGTAGGAGCTAAACACGGACGAACAACGTGTAGTGACAAATGGGGCCGAAAAACCAACGATCAGATTGCAAAGATGGAGCGTAGGTAAACGCGTATATTTGGGACGTTAGAAAGGGCGTGGCGGTCGCGAAAGAAATTTTGTCCTGGATACGTCGAGGTCTTAAGGAGGTTCGTGTTCGCCGAAAGGACGGATGAAACAGACAGAATCTGTTCAACATCGTTGGAGGCAGGGTCCATATGCGTACGTAAGACGCGCCACGTTTTCGTGAACAACGTCAACACTGCTGAAATCGTCCATGGACTTTATACGCGCAGCCAAGCACAGCCAGTAATCCCGAATATCGCTTTTCACTTCAATCGATAACTTTTTAGCGTTGAACATCGTTGAATAACCTGCTTGGCTTGGAAGTTCTCTCTGTTCATCTGTGCTGATCGTTATCATTCCACTGAAGGATGTCACCCGACTCACCAACTCGACGCTCAAGAGTCAAGCTCGATTCTACAACCGCCCTCGACTTGCTTTGAATATTTACGAAATCCTCAGACGATGGTTCGACTTACCGGGCGCCGAACCTCACGACTAGTCGAGCCCTGCTCGAATCCCAATTCATTGCTCCAGATACACTTCTTCACCTTATTCAATCCCGCACTCCAATCTTGACAGAAATCTAGGGACGGAAAGCTTCATCTAGCCTGCCAATTCCCAGAAGATTGTCGACCACCGGTGCCTAGCTTCGACCGCAATCCATGTCGTCGCCATCATCAAGGAGAAGGCTAAATTTGCAATGCTTGGATGAACGGAACATCTGTTGCAGAAATCGGAATTCAGAGCTCGGTCCGCTCGGTCATGGCGCGAGAGTCGCCTCGTTCTTTCCGTTCCGCACCACAAAAGCGAGAGAACAACTGCTGCATCGGCTTTGGGGCAACTGCTGCATCGGCTTTGGGGCAGCTTCTGTCGAGCTTTGGTTAATCTCCGCGACTTGAAAAACCTCCGTGGCCACTTACGTTGCACAACCTCTATCTAGGTGCTTTCTGTGGTCGCACCCTGCTCGGTTACCTTCAGCATCTGAGTGGGGTACCGAGGCTGCATGGTCTTCGTCGTCCCACAAATTCCATCACTTCGACCGACTGCGTTTTCACAAGTATACATTTTCGGGTCCAATCTAGGTTGGATGTGAATATATGCACTTTGGAAATACAGAATCAGATATACCGTTCATTTACGTGCTTCGAGCTCTGTGTTTGCGTGAGGAAATGGTAACATTGAGCTCAAGCTCTATCAAACGCTCATAGGGATGATGGTGGAACAAAGACAGGCGGCCAAGTGTGTCTAGCTTGTCGGTGTACTGCGCCTCTTAGGGGTTCCCCGAAAAGGACAATATTAGCGGTGCGCGACTTACAATGATATCATCGTGTCGGTGATCGATACATCATTACTCATTGTAAACTAATTTCTTTATTCACAATGTCATTATTTTCGAAATCGCAGATGGAATATATCCTTTAGCACGTGAATTGTCCTGTCGAAGACGAAAAATAGCAGTTGCGTTATGCCTTATCCATTCAATATTCTTTGGAGTTTGAGTTGTGTATTTTGAATTGTAAGGTATGAGTGGATGCTCAAAAAGAATAATCTCAAGCACAGAGAGGGCTGTCTTGATCCTGCAATATCCCGATGAAGGCAGCGGGAAATTTCAAAATCGAAACTCCTTCGGACAACGGCCCGACTGTCTTCATCTTTCAAACGTCGCTTCTACATATCGACTGTGAACATGGCAGATGCCCCAGAGTTCATTCTATCTGATATTTTTGCTCCTTCACTTGGGAAGGCCTGATATATCTCCACATCTGCCATAAACGGCGAGAAATCTACGAAATATATGTAGCCTCTGATGTTTGCACGTTATCTCCTGAGGGGCTTCCTTTCTCTCCAGTCTCCGAGTCCTCACGTATCTGTTCGACCGTCTTTCCCATTCCAAACCCGCCTTCGTATCCGAGCCATGTGCTGCGCTCACAATGTGGTCCACGCACGAGAAGTAACAGAAGGCAAACACCAGTCCAGCCCAATGATAAACCTGCTCCAGCTCTCCATCCCGCGGTCAAGAAAACGCGTGAACCAACATCTGTGCCCATCACTTGGCCAAAGAAGAGCTGAGAATAAACCAGGTCATTGCAGTGACTGAAAGGATGCTCGCTATCTTACAGATATTAGGAACAGGGCATTTAGTCGAGTACTGGCATCTGCCGAAATACTGTACAAAGTAAGTACTAGATCAGTGTACAATCATACAAACTCACGTGAATATTAACATTTGAAGCGAGACTTGCAAAATCCGGCAAAAGACATCTATGCCTACAGTAGCCAAAATGACCTTCCTTCAGAGATCAGTATGAGTTCACTACGCTTGATGTTTTCGATGATACAGACAGGAGCACCCACCAAGAGTGCCTGAAAACAAGCATAAAGCACAGAGCCAAGGATCGTGCTATACCACAGATTTATCCTATCAAATACCGAGGCATCTTACCTGGTGTTTGGCCAAGTGCACTTTGGGAGTGGGTGGCAGACGCGGATATAGAACGAGGTGTGATTGCCTAATGGAATACCATCACGAAAAAAATCGCAAGTTATTCCCCCCCACCTGCCGAAAAACGCCTCTCCACACGCCGCCCTTCCTTCAAAAATATTCTGAGAGTATTCTATCTGTACCCCCCCTCCCGACCATGGTTCGGGGAGAATTTTTTGAGATTTGGGGCCCCGAAAGACACCAATTTTCAACGTTGACAAGGGGGTTTACGGAAAAGGAAGGACTCCTTCCGTTTTGAGAAAATATCTTCATTTTTCATGTACATAGAGTATACACGAAACATGTTTGTTCATATAAGTAGATCATTTCTTCGGCTGAAATATGCCTATCTGCGTAGCCGGGTAGGCAGTCTCATTCAGCAGGGGTGGAGGAGAACAAGGGGGAAAAACTTACAATGCACGCGCACACTCTTTTCCTGCATTCTCCCTGCGGAAACATCACCTGAATCAAAATCCTCTCCCCAAAGAAGCTCCCTTGCCGGACGCTGATATGTTACGCCGGCCTCCACAAACGCTGTCCTTGTGTTTTTGAAGGCCTTGACAAGATGTTTGAGCTACAAAATAATTGAGCTTTGATGATAGAGTTGCGCGTGGGTGGGAGAGGTTGAGGTTGAACTAAAAACAGGTAGGTCAGAGTGAACACAGAGCGACGAGATAGACGAACCATCCCCGGTGCATGCCCAACCATCTCCCGCAATCCTCCCTCCGCCATTAACTCGTCCAACGCCCCCTCCGCCTACCAAAGTCCTCATCTCGCTCGCCGGATGACGATACATCGTGTCGGCACGAAATCCAGCTCTGCTTGAAGGAAACTGTCGCCGTGTGAGAGCCGGCGGGATTGCGTAGCTCGGGGAGTGATGTACTGAGAAACGGGTGAGTGCGCACGAACTCGGAGTAACAGGATGGACATACCATCCCCGGCTATCTCTCACAATCCTCCCTCCTCCATGGCCTTGCCCATCCCTCCATTCTCCCTCCAATGTCCAGGTCTTGTTCGCCGGACGACGATACGTCGTCTCAGCGCAAAATACTGTTGTGTTGCAGCCAAAACTGAGTTCTTAAACTCGTCATTTCACGGAGGGAGTCGCGCGGAGAAATTCAGTGTCGGGCTGAGAAATTGGTGAGTGTGAGTAAACCTAGGAGTAACGGGAAGAAAGTACCATCCCCGCCGATCTCCCACAATCCTCCCTCCGCCGTTGCCTCGTCCAACTCCCCGTCCGCCCTCCATTGTCCTAGTCTCGCTCGCCGGACGACGATACGTCATCTCGGCACGAAATCTGGTTTTGCTTGAAGGAAACTGTCGCTGTTTGAGACGGCGGAATTGCAGAACTCGGGGATTGACGTAGGGCTGAGAAACAGGTGAGTGCACATGAACTTGGAGCGAGAGGATGGACGTACCATCCCCCGGCCATCTCCCACAATCCTCCCCCGCCTTTGCCTCGTACATCCATCCCCCCATCCTCTCACCTACGTCCTGGCCTCGCTCGCCGGACGACGACACGTCGTCTCGGCACAATATTCCGTTGCGTTGCGGCCAAAACTGAGTTCTCAAACTTGTTGTTTGATGGAGGGAGCCGCGTGGATCAAAGAATCGTCGTCGGGCTGAAAGACCGGTGAGTGCATGAACAGAGAGAAGCTGGAAGGACATACCATCCCCGAGGCATCCCCCGTCACCTCCCTCAATCCTCCCCATGCTGTCGCTTCGTCCATTATTACCTCCTCTTCACACAGGACGTGGTCTTGCTCACGGGAAGCCGATACGTCGTCTCGGGACAAAATCTGCCTCAAAATGACGAAAAAACCTCCTGCATGAGCATTGAACAAGAGGGAGCGGTCTTCGGTCAGGTGGGGTGCATCTACGCGGAGGGTGAGTGAGTCCCCTTGAACGCGCGCGCAAGGAGTGTGCGGACCTGTGCAGACCTGCGCGTCTCCCGATCTCGATCTCTCAATCCCACTCCCACACACGCCTTTTCGATCAATGCAACGAGCGCGTCCCTTCGTCCAAGGCTGCTCGCCGGATGGCGATACGTCGTCTTGGCTCAAAATCAGGCCGTCTCGGTCGTGGAGGGCCCGCTCGGTGGTAGCGACGTCTCAGGGCTCTCAAGTGACATTGAAGGTGGTCATACCAGCACGCTACAAGGAGATATCTTGTCGTAATGTCCCGGCCTGATGCTGATGAAAAATAAGAAAATTATCAGACTGTTTCTACCATGTGTACAAGCCAAATTGAAACTTACCTTAAAATACATGCACTCAGGCATCCTTCATTCCTCTGAATGCAATATGACTATCAGCCGATGGAAGGGATGCTGTGGTGTCCAAAGATGAGGTGACTACGCGCTCCCCAGGCTTGAAATTTAGATTCTAGAGGAACGATTCGCCTATCTCAAAAGGAGATCGTATCAGCCAAAGTAAACTTGACATAGAACTCGTACCATAGGTACGCATCCAGAGAAGGGTCTGAAATCAAAGGAATGAGCATCGTAAGAGACAAAGAGAGGAGGAGTATTTACGATGGTGGTAGTAGGAAGACAAGAGGTAGTCTCGGCGGGCCGATCAACTCTTGATCCCGATATGGGCATCAACGCCCATGGTGGCTTTGGTGGATGGCCACCGAGGATAAATAAGAGAGAGGGTGTGGCAGTAAATGGCCTGGTGGAAGGAGGCATGAGAAGAAAGGAGGGACAAATACGGGGATTCGAGAGGTGGTGATGGTGATGGTAGGAGAATAAGAGGGAAACGTTTTGATCGCCTTTCAACAGGATTCTCAGAATCAACAAAGTCACGAGAAGACAGACGCGTCGATGAAACGTTCTGGTGCCGGAACATCTGTCAAAAAATTTCGACTTGATGGAGCCGATATCCGTGGAGAATTATCCTCCGCATCTTCCACCGGATTTATTCTTCGGGTCTTGAAGTCACTCTGATTAGCACCCTCAAATATGATTTTATTCACCCTCCAAAATACAATCACACATGGAATACGGACTTGCTAGCTTGGTCCGTAAAGAGACGTCTTGAAATTTTGATGGAGTGTCAACATACGCCTAAGTCAAGAGTCAGCGATGCATGTCAAGATGCACAAACAGATCAATGTACTTTCTTCCTGCTAACGGCCATCATCCCCAACGCGTCGTTTCCTGCACCTTCCACCAACCTGGGTCCCATACGAGCATAACAAGTTCCATCTTATTTTCTTCCTATTCAAGTTAACGTGCAACGAAAGTGAGTCACACATGGTGCCTGCACAACTCAAGAAAGCCCCCCAGAAAAGTGAGCAGACAGAGAACCATCGGGTCGGCGCGTACTTACAAAGGTTTTCATGCAGAATCCGCTAAACGATTGTGTAACACATGTCGAACTTTCAAGGTGTACGGTGAGTGGTAGGATTTTTTCAAAGACGACACGCTCACCGAGGACAAGATGTCAAACAGATATTGCCAGACAGTCGGGTTGGTAAGACGACTTTGACTTGGCACGAATATGGCGGACCCGAAGGCATCCAGGCAGCCGGCGGGAGGTATGGTCATAGCGTACGTCGGACTTCTGAGATCTCTTGATGGTGTGAAATCGAAAATCATGCCTCGATGCAATGACGGTGGCGCCAAGGTGAGATCTTCTGTTGCTGGCATCACGACGTCCAAATTCGACGTGCAAATCCAGGTACGGTGACATCCATTTCGGAACCCCTCTAAATGAACGGTAAGTCAAATGTTTGATGTGAAACTGACGCCGTCACTTACTGATCTTCCCCGCAGTATCCTGATCGACGCGGGGACATAATGCGCTCGCCTTGATAGCATGCACAGTTGTGAACGAGGTTTCCAGTCCTCGTGTCCCCGCCCCATTTCATTTGCTAGAGTCGGGACCACTCTATCTCATCAGTGAGTCTCGATTCCAAACGAACCTTGAAATCACTCACTTTTGGTACACCCCAAGCGCTGTAGCCTGAAGTCTCAACATTGACAGTGTCTGTTCTGCCATAATTGCGGATATCTAATGTGCGTTCTCTCTCTTCTGCTGTCGACTGATGCGGGACCCAGATCCTTTTGAGGCCGACATGATGTTTGTATTTGCGCTGCTACCGAAACGGTGTCGTGCACATGGCAGAGCCGTTGATGTGACGTGGGTGGGTGCCGGGTTCCTGTTTCTGTCCAAGAATTACAGCTAAATCGCCAGGGAATATAGAGAACTCGGCTTGAGGTGCATTCTCTCTCAGCTACAGTAAGTCAGCTGAATTGCGCGTCATACATCGCACAGAGACCTGAACCGTGTTTCGGCGCCATCGGTGCACAAGAAGACACGACAATCTACTTCCATGAAGGGGTGGTATTTCTGGAATCGATGCCGGAAGTTTCAATGAGATATTGAAGGAATTCCGGGATCTTTTAAAACCTGTACCGTAGATATATTGAATATAATTTGTACTTCATGGTTAGCCTAGTCGAAATCTGATCCAGTCACGTTAGAAACTAGTAAGCTACATCACAGAGATAGATAGAACTTACGGAAACGCATCATGATCAACCATAGAGGTGCCACAAGAAGCATCTCTAGTCCCACCCGATTAATGGGTGGACGCCACGGGGAGAGATACCTGCATCGTACCATGCGCTCCTTTCCAAAATAATATCGGCAGATTTGCACCTATCCAACCTTCACTTGGGTGCAAGTTTGCTCCGATGCACGTAAACTTTGATCCTAGCATGGAGCAGAACAACGTCAGAAGGAGAGACAGGAGCATGAATTGAAATGCATCCTTACCTGATATGCGCGGGTTGGTTGACATATCCCATCAAAACTATCGTGCTGCCGAATTTTGGAAGTTTGAATCCATCTTCGAGAGACTGGGGGTGAACGATATTGAGAGATGAAAGCACAGATGGGAGTACAATGGAACAAAGAGAGCCATGAGAGCACGTGTCTGATGCGTTGTGAAACGATTAAATTGCCGGCACTTGATCTTTCACCGCAATGTCCCTCGATGTCCTTGTTCCAGGCTGCAGATCAAGCACACTTCTCGCTTATCCATTTCTCGAGTGTACTGGCTTTATCTGACATATTCCAAATATTCCGTGTTTTGTTTCAACACCACTTGAGCCACCTCAGCTCCGAGTATTGAAACTTGCACCTCGATTGTTTGTCCGAGTATTCTCATCCACGTTTCCAGTTGCTTCTGCCGTCATTCCAAGCTGTTGTATCTTCTGAAGGTGATGGTATTAATTTGATCTCTCTCTCTGTACAAACGGGCCGAAGGTCAAGTCACTCGATGATGTCCCTGATTTTCATCTGTTCCCGGGGAACGTACTCGTACTTTCCCTGCTACGTTTTTCAATCGCGGTTTGTGCAGTGAGTGTACTCAACCATTCGGGGTGGTCCCAATTGAACAATCACTCGTCTGCATAGTATCCTGATCGACACGGGGACATAATGTGCTTGCCCTGATGTCAACCCATCTGCGAGCGAGACTTTCCAGTTCTCGCATCTCCGTTTCATTTGCTAGATTCGGAACCACTCTATCTCAGCAGTGAGTCTCAATTCCAAACGAAGCATTAAATCACTCACGCCAAGCGTCGTAGCTTGAAGTCTCAATGTTGCGCCGTAATCACGGATATTTGATGCACACACTCTTGTGCCGTCGACTGATGCGAGATCCGGATCCTGCCATGACCAAGACAACATTGTGCACACAGAAGGGTCAGTAATATGATGCGGTTGGGTGGAGGGTTTGGGATTTTCCCTAAAAATTAAAGTAAATTGATAGCTAATCACAAGGGAGTGTAGGAGAAAGTATGGATGCAAGCTGCATTCTCTCATAGCAACGGTAAGTGAAGGGTTTGATGTTGAATTTCGGGATGTCCAACGCATGATTTTCAGGGACCTGAACCACATTCTGGTGCTATCTGCGCAAGAAGATATAGCAATCTAATTCCAGAGGAATTTTTATTTCTGGACTCGGCGTTGGGTGTTGCAACAAGGCATTGAAGGAGATCCATGGACTTTAAATAAACCTGTACAATAAACATAGTGAAGATAATGTATATTTCAAGGTTAACCTGATCAAAATCTGATACAGTCGTGTTGGGGACCAGTAAGTGCATTGTCCGCATCACGGAGCCAGATGAAAACTTACCAAAATGCGTCATAATTGTCCAAAAGGCCAACACAAGAAGCCTCTCCTGAGCACGAATACTGGCAGATTCGCACCTATCCAGCCTTCACTCGGGTGCAAGTTTGCTCCGATGCACATAAACTTTGATCCTAGCATGGAGCAGAACAACGTCAGAAGGAGAGACAGGAACATGAATTGAAATATATCAGCTTACCTGACATGCGCGGGTCATCCCATCAAAACTATCGTGCTGCCGAATTTTGGAAGTTTGAGTCCATCTTTCAGAGACTGGGAGTGAACGAGATTGAAAGATGAGAGCACAGAATGGGAGTACGATGGAAAGAAGAGAGCTATGAGAGCACGTGGCTGATGCATCGTGAAACGATTAAGTTGCCGACACTTATTCTTTCGCTGCATCATGCTCATTTCTGGCTGTACTCACATGCTCCTCTTCTCCTTCATCCAGTTTTCGAATGTGCTGGGTCTCTTTGACGTATTCCAAATATTCCGTGTTTCATTCAAACACCGCTTGAGCCACCCCACCTCCGGACATTACAGTTAGTTCCCAGTCCATCAAATGTTGGTCTAGCTATTCCATCCTTGTTTCCAGCTTTAACTCATTTCTTCTGCATTAATCAAATGCTCATGTGTTCCTCGTTTGACAGATGATGGTTAATCTTGGTAGAGAGTGTCAGCTCATCGTATTCCAAAACCTCAATGACGTCGTACTGTCTCTGATTTCCCTCCGTTTCCGGGGAACGTACTTTCCCTGTGTTACGATTATTCTTTTCTTTTTCTTTTTCTTTCCTTTTCTTTTCTTTTCTTTAGTCAGCCGGATTATGCAGGGCGCGATCATCACGGACTGACTGCGCAGTAGTATTTTTAGAATACTCACGTGTATTTAAGTAGAGCCTCAGCTGGCCTAAACCCCAGCTTCGGCTAAGGTTTATTCTACCTAACTTCGAACTCCGTTCTTCATGACTATCTGTCCCATCGACTTACGTCACCTTTGACTTGCTAAAGCGTCGTCTACCGAAGTGCGAGTAGCGACCTTAGTACGATCTAAGTCGATCTGAGTTAGTGGCTAACATTTAGCCGAAGCTCGTCTTCCATTGCCCAACATTTTCCCTTTCATTCTCTTCATTGTTGTGGCACTTTCTGTGCTGCAATTCCTTCTGAACGACCCTCTAGGATTGGTTGTTGTAACCATCCTCCAAGTGTGTCTTGCCTGCGTATACGTCCCATCTCCAGTGTTTGCAGGACTCCTCCTGCTCCTCTGGGTCGGGTTTTTACGCCATCATTAAAAACACGAAACCTTTCATCCTCGCCCTCCAGCTCGCATCCATATTAACAGTCCTGCTGTTGGTATTGACGAGCTCCTCCGATTCCGAAAACTGCGAAATCTTGTTAATGAACGGCTCTAATTACGAGACCGACCTTAGCTTGATTATCGCCCTTCTCATTGTCCTCACCATCCTCGCTGTTTATCAGCTTGCATGGTCAATCGTCGACTTACGCCAAGGATCGATCCACTGACGGATGCCCTGGTCAGAATCCATTCTCGCCGTCTTCACGACTTTTATACTCTTTTTCTTCTCCATTACTTTGTACCAACTTCGCCGTTGCTGCCAGCGGAGACAGATCCGCGCACGACTTCTGCTCCACTACGTTCCCAGCACTCTGGCGTATCCACCGCCAGTAATCGATATTCCCTCGGCATCCCAACAGACAGTAGGAGATGTCGAATCCAACAACTCCGGGGGATCTGGAGGATCCCTCTACACATCGTCGCGACACAGCTCGCGATCCTCAGAGTCGAGCACCGACTCCTACAGAAGCGCCTCCAGCGCAGCAGCAGACTCCATCGACATCACCGATACCCGGGGGGTATTCCTCGACCGAGGAGACTCGCCCTTACCAGGTCTCTTCGACCAGTCTCCAGTCCAAGGCGAGTCTGGCGACGGCGGAGACCGAGGACAAGACACCAGGCATCTGGTCGAGGGCGAAGAGACGTCTGATACCGAGTTCGAAGGGGACGAGCTCTCCAAGTGGGAAAGAACCAGACTCGACGACCTCCTCAACGACCTCTACCCGAACGAGGAAGAAGATGCCGCCTATCTCAGAGACTATTACAGCGGCAGGAGGAGGACAGACGCTCTCTGGCAGAGCGAGAGTAGAAGATACCGGGTCGCCCAGAAGGACGACTTCGACAGCGATTCCGGAGAGCTTGGCCTCGGAGCCTCCGCGGCTACCACCAGTTCAGCTGAGCCACAGTCTCTTCCAAGGTCCTGGCCGACCGATAGGGGAGAGCCAATTGCCTGGCACCCCGCTACCAGCTGGGTCTACGCCGACAGGCGGGAAGAGGCTCTTGTGGCCGGAGTCACGACCAGAGGAGAGTCCGACCAGGTCTCTGAAGGGTCCGCAACCCCACCGCTCTCTCCCCCCATCACCACGGACGAGCCGGCGAGTGGGGAGCTTTGGAACGAGTTCCCAGACCTCGACAACGAGGAACTTGGAACAATTACCGCTTCCGAGCGACTCGCCGGAGTCTCCAACTGGGAGCCGTCAGTACCCTCGAGAGCCTTCGCCGACCCCGTCCCTCTTTCCCAGCGTCCATGGCCGCTACTCTATCACACGTACGTCGAGTCCCTCAGACTCAGACCCGATGCCAGGCTCGCCCCAGACGTCGAGGCCAGAATGGAGCGAGGTAGAGCGCATGACGCATGCATCCGACGAGCCGAGGAGGATGCCCTCCAGAGGCCGGATGGCTGGTGGGACCTCCCCCTTGAGCCCGACGCCACGCCTGCCGAGGTCGACAACCGAATCCGCGCCACCACTACCCGGTACAGTGGAGCCACTCGAAGAGCCGGCACCGATCTCGAGGCCAGAAGAAGAGCCTGGAACTCCTACCAGGCCGAGATCAGCGACCAAGACTCAGACATCGGGAGGTGGAGGCGCAACAAGGAGCTCGACCAACTCGCCTGAGAGAGGAAGGAGGCAAAGGATGCCGAGTCGTCCTCCCAATCAGGCCCTCGAACCGACGGTAATGGCGGCGGTGACACAGGTCATGCTCAGGGGCCCTCACCCTTGGCCTGACATTTTTAACATCCTTCCCTGGCACGGTTTATATGAAATCATCATGGAGCATATGGAGAAGGACCCCCAGTGGCTGTTTACGGACGTGGGGGTCGACTATCAAAGCGCAAAAAGCATGGGGGATGTGTACCTCATGAAGAACATCCTCGAAGTAGAGACCTGGCACTGGGCGGCCATTGTGTGGAACATGATGAACCCCGAGGCGCCTCAATGTGGGTGCGAACTGTATCGTCGCCCTCAGCCAATGCCCAACCCGCTAGAAACCGAAGAGTTCTGGGCGGGTGCGGGGCTGGACGATGACGACATGGACGATCCCGGCGCGG